CCTGGCCCTGGCCACTGCCCTGCCCTCAGTCGCTGCATGTATAGACGCGTTAACAGGTGTGTGTATGGGTGTGCGTCGTGGTGTGCCCGTGCGTGCATGCACGTCTGCACGTGTGCATGCAGGTGTGTGCAGGTCTACGTGCACGTGTGTAGGCGTGTGTGGGAATGCCCACATGTGCACCTATACATACAGGCATGTCTGCTCATGTGCATGCAGGCATGCATGCAGGTGTGTGTGTGTGTGTGTGTGTGTGTATGTGTGTGTGTGTTTCAGGGACAGACCGTCACCATTCAGCCCAGAATCCGAGGTTTCAGGCCGCAAGGAGCCCACACTGTCTCAGCGGAGCAGGCAGCAGCTTACGAACATTCCTGGCCTCCTCAGGCAGTTGCTGGAAGAGCCTCAAGCACAGGAGCTCTGCCACCCACCCGGCTTGGTGTCTCCCCAGGGTCACCTGCTGCCGACTGTGGTGCAGTGCCTCCAGCGAGAACTGGCAGGGAAGCCTCCCAAGCTCAAGTAACTGGACTGAAACAGCAGGATAAGGGACTCCTTGAGCCCAGCCCAAAGCCAGCACCAGGCGTCATCTCTGCCTGTGCCCACGTTCCTTCCTGCTCCCCCCTGTTGAAGGGCCCTGCAGGGTGGCCACGGTGGCCCAACTCTGAGTGGCCACTGCCCAGTGAGTAGGGTCAAGCAGGAGGGAGGGCTGATGGATGGGGGGGCGGAGTGTGCCACACTACAGCTCTGCTAGCGGGTAAGCAGTGGCCTCTGGGAGGGGGTGGGGCCCACGGCTGTGGGCGCTGCCCGTGGGCTCCTTTAAGAAGCACCATGCACGGGGTATGGTGCCGCCAGCAGGTCAATCTGTACCTGTGAGGTGAGTGCTTCAGCAGCCTGATGGTGCCTTCAGACTCCTAGATGCCCCAAAATCGCTGCTGTGGCTTTGGCCAGACCCCAACAACTTGGGGCTAAGTTTACCAAGAAAGCAAACGGCCAAAAGTTAGGTATGTGGGAGACACACCCACAAACCACCTCCGGCTCAGCTATATAATTGGAGGCAAGGCCTCTCTGGTTCCTGATCAGACTGCTTAATGGCCATGATCCCAGAGACTCAGACAAATCTCAGAACCCAGCAGCTTTTGGCAGAAATGCATCCGGTCCCCATACCGGCACCAGACCACCCCAGGGGGGGAAAGGGTGCTGTCCCTCTGCCTGTTCCCCCCTGGCGGCTCAGTGGCCACCATCCTCCAGAGGCCATTGGGCATTCAGGTTTGGGCCTGCAGTGACAAGACTTGTGGGGCCTTAAAGGATGGGGGTGGAGCTGGCCCTTTCCTCCTGATCAAGCTGCTTAACGGCCATGATCCCAGAGACTCAGGAACAAATCTCGGAACCCAGCAGGTTTTGGCAGAAATCTCTCTAGATTTAATTGTTAAAATTTCACAATCCCAAAATCGCACAGCCACAACTGCAGCCGTGCAACATCATATGTTATTCATAATCATCAATAGAAAACAAATTGTCTCCGGGTGCCTTTTCGGCAGATCTGAGTGTTGGGGTAAAATCCCAAATAATAATGGTGGGTCTGGTGTCAAAATATTGAATGTAATCAAAGTAAAGAGAGAGTAATGTGGAAATCGTCTGCCCCACGGGTAGGGGGAGGGTGTGGGATGGGGGTATACTGGAGTTTTGGAGGGTGGAGACGCGGGGTCTCTGGGCCCCGACGGCAGCTCCAAGCGCAAAGGCCCTGCCTGACCCTCGCCGAGCGCTGCCCACCAGGCTGTCCCGCTGTGGTCCGGGTGGAGTTGGGCCCCTATGCCCCCGCTCTCTGCTTTCCGCCCCGGGATACGGCTGTGGAGTCTCAGGGTGCCCCCATCTCCCCTCGGAACACGGGGTCTCCCCCGCGCCTCGTCAGTGCTCACCGAGGCTCAGCTCGCTGTTCCAGCCTCCGCTGGCAACTGTCCACTCCTCCAGGAAGCCCTCCCAGCGGCCCCGTTAGTTTTCACTGCACCTTGGCCCCGCCCCTGACTCCGCCCTCTCTCAACTCTCCTATGAGATGACGGGAAAGTGTAGGACAGCCAATCACAGCTTCCCCGGCCCCGCCCCGCCCCTCTCAGCTGTCCTATGAGGTGATGGGAAAGTGTGAGCCTGCCAATCACAGCGTCCCAAGCCTCGCCCCGCCCTCTCAGCGCTCCTATGATAATGAGAAAGTGTGAGCCCGCCAATCACAGCTTCCCCAGCCCCGCCCCTTTTAGCTCTCCTATGATAATGAAGTGTGCAGCAGCCAATCACAGCTTTCCCAGCCCTGGCCCCGCCCCTCTCAGCCCGCCTTGTCTTGATAGGGGATGCGGGTCCTCCAATCACAGCCTCCCTCAGGGCTGGGTGGGCGGGGACTGCGAGCAGGTGGCGCGCAGAGGCCAGGAGGCGGCTCTGCCCGGGACCCTCTCGAGGCCGCCTGCCGCCCTGCGGGCCCAGATCTCAGCGACTGCCCTTCCAGGGGACCGCATGGAGGACCCTGGGGAAAACAGCTCCTGTTTGGGATCCTTCACCTCCCACCCCGCCGGGAGGCCGGGGCTGCGGGCCAGCCCAGACCCTGGAGAAGCGGGGTCTGTTGGTCGGAGCAGCAAGCCCTGGCCAGCACACGAGGTGGGAGCTCACGCGGGGACCTGCCTGGCCCCTTCCACGCAGGGGTCCTCCGCGTGGAGGCACTGGGCTGTCCAGAGCCGCAGGCCCCTCACCCTCCAGGTCACAGCGGGGCCGGGGCCCTGCACTGCTGCGCCTCCCCCTGCCCCGGGTCTCGCTCGGCCCGGTGGGGGCTGGCAAGGGCACCCTCAGAGTCTGGGGGGCGGGGGCAGGCTGCTCGAGCCTCTCAGGGGACCCCCGCCTGCCTCCTGTCTCAGCCCCCCTGCTGGCCTGGACCTGGCCGAGGTGGGAGAGGGAGCCCCAGAGGTCAGGGGGGAAGTTCCGAGCTGCGGCGGCTTGGGTGGACTCCTTCCTGGTGCTGCTGTCTGCATTGGTCCTCAGAAGTGCTCTAGGGGGCTTCCGAGGGTCAGCCCTGGTGGTCCCCTTGGACCCCTCCCCCTGAAGGTCCGCCTGGCACTCTGCCCGACCTGCCTGGCCACGTGGTGAAGGTCGGTCAGCCCTCCTCCTCCACCCACAGGCTGGGGGCTGGGACTCCGGGAATGCCAGAAAGCTGCCCTCTCCCCCAGCCTGTGCTGGGTGTACTGGGGTCACACGTGGCCCCACACCTGCTCCGGATCCCCTTCCTTGACAGGTGGCCTGGGTGGCCCACCCTGCCCTCCCCAAAGCCCTTGTTGCTAAGGCGGGACTCAGGGGCCTGGCCACAGGGTCTCAGGGTAGAGCTCAAAGGCATAAGGGTTGGGCGCACCCTGGAGCTGCCAACCGCCGCTCGGCAGGTCTCATGACTGGGCAGAGGCCAGCGGGGAGAGAACCGAGCGAGGCCGACCACGAGGCCTGGTGAGGACAGAGATGGCACCAGCACCCGCCCTGGCTCCAGTCACCCCCAGCCACCCCAAGGTCCCCAGCTCTGCTGAGAAAGGGCTGTAGGGCGCAGTGGCAGGGGAGACGTGACTGGAGAGACCGGACCTGCTGTGGGGCCCAGTTGGGGGCAAGGTCCTACTCAGCGGGGAGCCCCCAGTCTGCAAGATGTGCTCACGTGCCCTGCAAGGCTGGCTGGGAGGCTGAGCACGGCCGTGGGGAGATGTAGGATAACATGGAGGGGGGAGAGCCGTGGGGAGGATGACCGTGGGGAGGTGTCGCAGGAGGCGGCAACCACAGCCGTGCTGACAGGCCGAGTTCCTCATCCCATGAGGTCACAGCTCACAGCACCCGTGGCTGTTTCTGCAGGGCACGGGCTGAGTGGCTGATGGCCAGTCTCTCAGGGACGCCCGAGGAGGAGGAAATGCTGAAAGTAGGTGCCATGAAGGTCCCCACGTAGCATAGCACTGGCCCCTGCTGTCCCCATCACCCCAGTCGCCGCCATATTCACCATCATCCCTACCATCCCATCTTCCTTGGCACCAGCACCAAAACCACCGTCACTGTTCTCCCCTCGTGCTGGGCCTGGCAGGAGCGACAGTCTGGGTGCAGGGCTGACGGGACAGGGGCCTCTGAGGGCAGTGCCCAGGACGCGGGTTGGAAAGGCTCAGCCTGATGCCCACGGTTGGGCCACACGCGGGGGAGCGGCAAGGACAGTGCCGGGTGGGAGGAGACAGACAGAGGATCAAGGGGGAGCCGCCACTGCAGCGGGGGTGGGGCCTGGGAACAGATCAGTGTGGACGGCCGGGGGGCACAGCTCATGGAATCTCCACACAGCCCAGTGAGGGTCATACACACACGCACACACACAGCCCAGTGAGGGTCTCAGCTGGGGAGCTGCAGACAGCGTGTCTGTGGGTGTCGGTGTAATGAGTGTTGGGTACGGGGGTTTCAGATTGCTGCTGTTGTCAGGGTTTGGGGCATGAGGGGTGTTGGGGTGTTAGGTGTGGTGGTACTGGGTGTGTGGTGCTCGCATGTCTCAGAGGGTGGGACGGCCAGGGTGGCTGCAGGTCCCTCCTTCGGGTGACGGTGACATCTGGTGTCCAGGAGGAGGGAGCTCTCCTTGGGGCGCAGCCAAAGACGCGTTGTGAGTTTTCCAGGCAGGAACTGGGGCTGCCCTCATTAAGCGAGTCGGTGCTGCCGGGCCTTCGCGTGTGAGACCGAGCACAGACGGGCACAGGGGGGCCCATGCGGGCAGAGGCAGGACAGGTGGGCACGGCTGCGGTAGGTGGACAGGCGGGCACCCCTCCTCTGGGCTCTACAGATGGCACGACCCCGGGCACAGAACCGGCGGCTGTGGTCCCCTTTAATCGGCGGAGCCCCGAGGTCCCAAGCGAGCCGCGGGGGGCTGGGGTCCAGGCAGTGCCCGCGAGGTCCGTGGGGTCCGCGGACAGCCGGGTATGGTGGGGAGCTGGGAGCACTCTGGGCCGTGGAGCCGCCTCCCGTTCTCCTACTTTGTGTTAAAAAATATATTCTGTGGGTGCCGCGAGAAGCTGGCGGTGAGCGTCGGGAAGGGCCGGCTCCTGGGCAAGGGCGCCCCCACCTTGAGCTTCAGGGCGTCCTCTTGGGGCACCCCACCCTGGGGAGGAAGCGCAAGGCTGTGAACGGGCGGGGCTCAGCCCCTCCCCCCGCGGGCAGCGCCAGCCCTGCCCCCGTGGCTCCCACAGACAGACCGGGATGCACCGCAGGGCCCACTGCCCCTCGGGAGGCCCTGGCGCCTGCAGACCCCCCTTCCCCCCCCCCCAGCAGAGCCCCCCATCCCCAGGGGATCCGTCCTCCACCCCACATGCCATGCTCCACTCTGCCAGCAGGGGGCATGTGGGCCCCGCGCTTGACTCCCAAACGGGCCTCAGCTCCAGGCAAACTCTGAAGTGCCCCTCAGTGGTCCTCGGACCGCCCAGCAACGCCCACACCAGGCACCCCACTGGGCCAGGGGGGCCGGGCTGTGGCTCATGTGTGTCCGTGCCGTGTCTCGGGAGCGTGCTCTGCCCGCAGTGTGTGTGGAGGTGGCGGTGAGACTCTGCTTGCCCGAGCTGTGGCCTCATGACACGGTTCCGAGGGCTGTCTGTGGCTCCCCCTGCGGCTGCAGGCCTCGCCCCTTCCCTGGGGACACGCTTTGTCCCAGCTCTCCCCTGGGGTGGCAGGACCGTCCCTGGCCCAGGGCTCTCCTGGGAATGAGTGTCTGTGCCCCAGCTAGACACGCACCCGGATCTGAGGCTATGGCAGAAGCACAGACAGCTCTGGGCGTGGGTTTGAGAGGAGGCACCCAGGGCATGGCTGGACTCGCCCTGAAGTGCTCCCCTCTTGCACTAGGCTGCCGCTGCAGCCAGTGGAAGGCAAGAGGGTGCTGGGAGGCCCATGGGGGCCCGCGGGCGGTTGATGTCCAGCCCATGTGGCCTCAACGGCCTCCAGGTCTTGAGGGGGGTGCAGCTATTGGGGGACTGGGCACTCGGCTGCCCGCTGACGCCTGCGACCCCCGCCCCCAGTCCCGCATCGCTCATGATCCCCCAGTCCTGGGCTGCCTGGCGCACCTGCGCTAGCGTCTCAGTACCCCGGAAGCACTGTCTCCTCTCCTGCTTCCACGGCCAGCGCTGCTGTGACCTTTCCCCACTGGGCACCTCTTGGAGTGAGCTACGGACAGGAGAACCCACCTGAGCCCAGGGCTAGGGCAGGTGAGTCCCACCTGAGCCGGGGCCTAGGGCAGGTGAGCACCACCTGAACCCAGGTACTAGGTTCAGGTGAGCCCCACCTGAGTCAGGGTGCTAGAAGGGCATGTGAGCCCCACCTGAGCCCGGGGCCTAGGGCAGGTGAGTCCCACCTGAGTCAGGTGCTAGGAGGACAGGTTAGTCCCACCTGAGCCCGGAGTCTAGGGCAGGTGAGTCCCACCTGAATCCGAGTATTAGGTTCAGGTGAGTCCCACCTGAGTCAGGGTGCTAGGAGGGCAGGTGAGCCCCACCTGAGTCCGGGTGCTGTGGGCAGGTGCCAGGCATCACCCACCTGAGTCTGGGGTGCCATGACAGGTGAGCCCCCCTGAGCACAGCTCCGCTGGAACTTCCCGCAGAAGCCCCTGGTGTTCTAAGGGTCCAAGGCCACCCAGATCCTGCAGTCCCTAAGCACCCATCTCTACCTGCAGACTCTACGGAACCCTCCGGAGCAGAGGCTGCCCCTGCGGGTCACATGACAGTCAGGGGTCAGGGCCTGTGCGCCCCTGCCCGGCCTCGGACACTGACCTGGTTCCCACGCACGTGCGCAGTGCCTGGCCCATGCTGGCCCTCCAGGGACTGCAGCTCAGGGTGTTCTTGGGACCCAGGACGCCCCTGACAGGGGGGACCTTGGCTGGCACCTGCGGGCAGCAGATCTCAGGTAAGCAGAGCCTGGTGCCCTGTGCACAGACTCCACACTCCAGACCGGGCGGGAGGCAGAACATCCGGGCAGCGGCGTGTTCATACTCTGTCAGGTGCCGCTGTGTGTGTGGCCACGCGGCAAGGAAGGACCCCATGGGACCCACGGGACACAACCCTGCTCCAGCTGAGTGACCCGGGAGTCTGCTAAATATGTCCGGGAGGACTGAGACTCGGAAAAGGCAGGGGACACGGGACCCAAGACCTGGCAGACCCCACCCTCCACACGGCCCCCAGGGGACCCGGCCCAGCCCCCGGGGGACCTGGCCCAGCCCATCCGGCCCACAGAGACTCCAGCATTGCCCACCGTAGGCCAGCGTGGCCTAGCGGCCCCTGGCACAGCCACCCGGTGCCGTGTCGGTCCAGGCCGGGGGAGGACGGGGCTGTGTGGGGGCTGCCCAGGGTCACGCGGTGCATCCAGCAGTACGAGCTCCCGGCAGCACCCACGTCTCCCCCGGACCCCGCACCCTTCCCCCACACTCTGCGCGCCCCCCCCCCGCCTCTCCTGTGCCCCACGTGCCTCATTTCCTCCCTCCCCGTACCCCACTTCCCTCTCTCCAGCCTCACGGCCTCCAGTACCGTGTCCCTCCCAGCCCTGGAGAGAGTCTGGGGTCTGCAGGGAGGAGTCTGTCTTGGGTCAGGGAGGAGCTGAGGTGGGGAGGAGTCTGGGTAGAGGACTTGGGTAGGGAGGAGTCAGTGGGGAGGACTTTAGGTAGGGAAGAGGATTCTGGGTGGGAGGGGTGAGGTGGGGCGGGGAGAAGTCTGGGGTAGGAACCGGCGTATCAGCGTGTAGAGCCGAGAGGACGCGCCCAGAAGCGCCCAGGCCCAGGAGCTGTCCCGGCCCCCGCAGTGGCCCTGTTGAGTGTCCCTGTCACCTGGGACAACCCCCCTCCCCCGTGCCGACTTCCCAAGCCCAGAAGCTGACACAGCTGTGGGAGGCAGCAGGGACCCCCGGAAACAGCCAAGAATTGGGTCCGGCCCCTTATTAGTTGCTCCCACGGTTCACAGGGACCAGGGGCCACTGGGCGCCACAGCTCACAGAGCCCAAGGCCTGGCGCCCCCTGCAGAGAAGCCCCCTGCCCTGGCCGCGCCCCGGACCCAGCCCCACGAGGGACCCCGGCAGCAGGACAGAATGGGACACCTGTGTGACACTTGGTGGCCAGAGGAGCCAACGCGGCAGCCAGGACCGGCTGGGCTGGTCCCCTGGGCCCTGGGAGCAGCACCCTGGGCTCTAAGTTCCAGGGTGAGTCGAGGTCACGGGGAGCTGGGGCAGAGCCCAGCACCAAGCACTGCGGGCGGAGGGAGGCAGCCCACCCCCAGCCCAGGGGGGAGTCCAGGCCCAGGGCAGGCGGAAGACCGGCTCTGCGGGGCCCTGTCCCTCAGGACTGTGCCGGCCTGCAGGGGCACCCGGCACCCCTTACCAGGCCTTGGTGCAGGGGCAGGAGGGTTGGGGACTCCGCTTCCCTCTTCACTGCCTGCTTCTCCCTGGGGAACAGGCACCGGGTCATGCTGACGCCGCAGCTTCTGCCCACGGGCTGGGCACCCACGCCCTAGCCAGCCCTGAAGCCCTCTGCCCTGGCCCATCGCCAGCACGGCCCAGGAGTCCTCCAGGAGTGCTGGGCAGGGCTGTGGCCACAGTCGCCACAGCACACCGGCTCCCCGGCCTGGGCGCCCCGCGGCTGACTTCACTGTGGGGAGCACCGCTGCCGCCCGCGTGGCTGCTCCTGGCCACACCCTGCACACGTCCCCTGCGGGCCGCCCCAGTGCTCACCGTCCGAGGGCAGAGGCGCCCAGCAGCTCACTCGTCTTCCTCGTGCCCGGGCAGCAGCTGGGTCACTCCCATGACCCAGAACCTCACTGAGGACACTTTGGGGGACTTTGGGGGTGTACTGTCGTCGGGCCCTCTGCCCCTCAGCCTGCTGTGCTGACGTGTCCCCCAGGCTCTGAGGACTCACAGATCTGACAAAGGCCTGTCCGGGGGGCTCAGAGTCTGTCCTGGGGGGCTCAGGATCTGTCCCGGGGGGCTCAGAGTCTGTCCCAGGGGGCTCAGGGTCTGTCCTGGGGGGCTCAGGGTCTGTCCCAGGGGGCTCAGGGTCTGTCCCGGGGGGCTCAGGGTCTGTCCCAGGGGGCTCAGGGTCTGTCCTGGGGGGCTCAGGGTCTGTCCTGGGGGGCTCAGGGTCTGTCCCGGGGGGCTCAGAGTCTGTCCCAGGGGGCTCAAGGTCTGTCCTGGGGGGCTCAGGGTCTGTCCCAGGGGGCTCAGTGCTGAGCAGTCCCCAAGAGAGACATGGGAATAGGGCTGGGAGGTGCAGGGAGACCCCCCCACCACTCTGCCCTGCCATGGTGCTGGGGCCCCCATCACCAACCCTTACCAGGAGGGGGCACGTCTGGGGACACGGGGCTGGGGCCCTGGCCAGGGAGCCACCCAGGGCCCAGGGCTGACCAGGAAGGGGCAATCCACGAGCCGGGGGGCTGGGCCGCACCCCAGGACCCACCCCCTGTTCCCTCATCACTGTTAGGCCACACACCGGCTGGGAAGGGTTCTGAGGGAACTTCAGGGCCGCGGTGGGATGGACAAGGCCGTGGCCTGTGCACACCCCCAGGGCTGCCCATTGTGGGGGTGCGGGTGGGGGCAGGGTCCCTAGACAGCCACCTTGGGGATTGCCCACCTGCAGCTGGGGCCCCGTGTGCCCCCGAGCTCAGCCCCCACATTCTGGCCTGCTAGGACACGGCTGTGCCCGGTAAGGCCAGGACACCAGCAGCCCTGCCCGTGAACACACCTCCCTCCGCCGTGGCCCCTACCAATGTGCCCCGCTCCACCCTCGGTCCACCGGCCCACCCTCTAGCACTCACGCCAGACCCCCCAACTCGGCGGCTGCCTCCTCCATGTGAGCCGTGCACACGTGTGCACACGCACACTCCCAGCCTGAAGGCAGCAGTGCAGGGGACATCCCGAGCCCCCGTGGCACTGGGTGCGCCGTCTCCCCCCACCCCCTTACCTGAGAAGGGGCGCGGGGTCCGGGCTCGGCTCCCTGGAGCTCAGGGCTGCCTGGAGGTTGGGCGGCAGCTCCGTGGCCAGGAGCCGCCGGTGCGGTGCCCCCGCCTGCTGGTTCTGCACGATCTCCTGCCTCACCTTCCAGAAGCGCCTGATCTCCGCCGTCATCAGCCACCGGTCCGGGCGGTCGGCGGAGGCCTGGAGCCCGCGCTGGTCCTGCTTGTCTCCGGGCGGGAGGAGGTCGCCCTTCTCTCGGGGCGCGGGGGGCTGCAGCCCTTTGTCCCCCCGACTCTGCTGACGCTCCCCGGATCGGTTCGGGCTCAGCAGGGGGTCCTCCAGCGCCCAGAGCCGGGCGCTTTGATTCACTGTGGAAAGCAGACCCACTCAAGACTTGCAGTAGCCACGCCCAGAGCAAGGGGCCTGAATGCCCTCTGCAGAGCTCACGTCTGGGGGGGGGGGGGTGTGGACATGTGGCGTGAGAATGTGCGTAGGACGTCAGTGTGTGTGAGCGTGTGGGTGTGGGATGTGTGTGAGAGTGTGTGGGTGTCGGACATGAGTGCGTAGGAGAATGTGTGTGCGGGGGCGTGAGTGCATGTGAGCGTGTGGGTTTGGGACGTGAGTGTGTGAGTGTGCATGTGTGGGGTGTGAGTGCGTGTGTCTATGCTGAGATGTGTGTGCATGTGTGCGGGCTGTATCTGAGGTGTACATATGACGCACATCCTGGCATCTGCGCGCACCCACAGTCCCTGTCAGTCCCCCCAAGTCCCCCCGTGCCCAGGGTCTTGCAGCTGAGCCCCTGGTGACTGCCCAGGGGTGCCCATTCCTCCCACTGTTTGCCCTTTCCCCGGTTTCAAGCTCCTCGTCTCCAGCTCATGGTCGCTGGAGAGGGATGGGCGGAATCACATTCCCTCAGCGGCTGTTTGTCCCGGGCCCGTGAGGTGTTGGGGTGCGGGCCAGCTGGCTGACGGGCTTGGGGCGCCCACAGCCGCAGCACCCATGAGCCTGGTGAGCCTGGAACTGCCCGGCCGTCAGGCCGTCCCTGGAGCCTTCCAGGCTGTGGGCAGAGGCTGTACAGAAGCGTAGCTGCTCTGTGACACACGCCCAGCCATGTGGCTGGGCCTGAGGACCAGCAGCTCTAGGTCACTCGTGAAAATGCACCTGACAAGACCGTTCCCTCCAGTTCCGCCTTTCCTGGACTGGGCACTGGGCAGGGGCGCAGGGTGAGCCAGGAAGCCCCGCAGGACACCGTCATGGGCCCCGGGCGGGACAGGCGTGTAGGGGGCTGGTGGCTGAGCACGACCCAGTGAGTCCCACGGGAGACCCCCCCCATGAGCTGGGTCGCACGGGACACTGCTGATCCCCCAGGAGGATGCTGCTGCCCAGAAACCCATCATAGCATGGGAGCTCTGGCTGCGTCCCCTGGGGGCCTGGCCCGGGAACGGTACCCTGGCGCTGACCCAAGCCGAGTGCAGTCCTGTGTCTGGGGTAGAAGAGGGCCAGTGGGGCCCAGCACCCAGCACCCCTGCTGGTCTCTCCCTCGGGGTCCCTCCTTGTAGGGCAGCAGTGCCCACGGCACTACTGGGCACAGCCTCACCAAACTGACCCAATTCCCTGACCCGGGAGCTGCTGGGCGCACCCACTGGAGACCCTGTGCAGGAGGGGCCAGCCGGGGACACAGCAAGGCCCACCTCCCCTCCGGCCCCTGAACCCCCCTCCTGTCCGACCCCCGAACCCCACCTCCCCTCTGACCCCTGCACCCCCTCCCCTCCAACCCCCACGTCCCATGCCAGCTCAGGCTTGGAGGCAGCTGCCAGCCCTCCACCCTCGAACCTGGTGGGGGCCGTGGGGGGCCGCGGGGGCCGCCCTGGGCACAGAAGCGAAGGAAGTTCAGGACGGCGGCCGGGCCCCTCTGCAGGATGAGCTGGGGTGGGAACTCCAAGGGGCAGAGTCTCAGGTTCAGGGACGTCAGGGTCCTCACGTTCCCTGCAGCAGGACAGTGGTGTGTCCTACCCTCGCTGCCCACGGGACGGGGGAGAGCCCTGGTGGACGTGCTCCCCCCCGCAGGCCTCGCCTATCCCAGGCCAGCCCCATCAGCAGAGCCGCAGCCCGGCCAGGAAGCTGCGAGGGCTTCGGGGAGCCGTTTCGTGCTGCAGTCCCCATGGACACGCGGGGCCGCCCTGCAATGCAGCCGCACTGGACACGGCAGGGCCCTGAGGGGCGAAGGTGGGTGAGGCCGCTGGGGCGCAGGAAGCCAGGGCCTGGGGCGGGCACGAGGGGGCGGCCCCAGAGGAGGACAGGCACCAGTCGCACTCAGGCCTGGGGACAGTGCCGTGGACACGGCCCTCCACGGCCCACGTGTGGACCAGCCCTGAGCCTGAGCCAAGGAGAGGGTCCACTCTGTGCCGAGGCGGAGAGACCACCTTCGGACAGAGCCGACAGGGAGCACAACAACTCCAGGGCACTGCCAGCTGCCACTGGACCTCCCCCCTCCCCTCCCCCTCCCCTCCCCCTCCCCCCTCCTCCTCCCGCGGAAATGAGTAAGAACCGAGCCAGCAGCAGATGAGCCCCAGAGACAGCGCCGAGTGAAGAAGCAAGAGACAGAACACAGCTGGTGCGACTCCATCAGAGCCGTGGGCTTCCCAACGTGCCCAGGGACGCGGGTGGGCCGGCCAGAAACGAGCCGTGACGCCCAGACAGAGAGTTGCTGGGACACGGAGGGGGTGTGGGACGGGCTCTCTGCGGCTGGGGGTGGTGTCTGCGTCGAGCCCTGCCTGGCCATCCCTGTCCCGTGCTTGCTGTGTGTGGGCCCTGTCAGGAGTCGGACAGGGCACCCGCCCTGAGCTCAGCGAGGACAGAGAGGGGACAGCCTTCTCCGGCCAGCGCAGTGGCTTCCAACCCCAAGCCCTGCGTCCCGGTGCCTCTTACCCAGCTCCAGCGGCAGGGCCTTGATGGGGTTGCTCTCAAGGAGCAGAGTCCTCAGGTGCCTGTGGACAAGACAGAGCCAAGGGCAGGACGTGGGGAGCCGCCGCCACCGCCCCCACCAGGGCAGACACAGCCCCGGCACGCAGGGGCTGGCCACGGGCCAGGGTCTCCCAGGGGTGCCCGCCGTGACCCCAGGCGGTCAGCTCAGCCCAGCTTCTCCAGCACAGCCCCGGGGACGGCAGCCTCACGTCCACAGCAGGGGCCAGCCCCAGCCCCAGGCACCCAACACCATGTCCGCCGTGTTCTCTGGGCCGAGGCAGGACCAGAGACAGGCGAAGGGCGACTCTGTGTGGTCCGAGCACCCTGGTCCAGGGGGAGGAACCGGACGGAGGGTCACCCTGCCAGCCACACCAGCACGTGTTCTTGGAGCCGCCCTGTTCCCAAGGAAAGACCAGCAGCCCCCATGCCAGGCAGGACCACGCCACAAGAGACATCCGTGCTCAGGTTCCTTCGTCTGCAAGGCCTCGGCCAGGGGCTCTGACCCCCACGTGCCCACCTGCCTCAGCCAGCGGCCCTCACCCCCATGCCTGCCCGCAGTGCTGTGGGATTCTCCAGCCCACGGCAAGCACAGGCTTTGGGGTGTGGTCAGGGGCCAGGGCCAGGGACCACTTTGCTCTGTGTCCTGCCTTAGCTCCAGCTGGTGCTTGGAGGCACCAGGCATCCCCTGCCAGCTTGGCAGCGGCGCCCCCAGCTTCCTTTATTCAGTTGTCACAGGTGCCAAGCATGGGGCTGTAGGATGTGTGGGCAGGGAGACACTGAGCCCAGCCTCGCCACGGCTGGGTCCCCGCAGCTCAGAGGGTTAACATAAGCCCCCAAGAGGAGGCAGGACACAGCAAGACCCAGGGGCCGTTCCCCGGCCTGGCCGGGTCATCCCCAGCACTCTGTCCTGTAGGAAACAGTCCACACGCGTGTCCTGGTGGCAGCGGCAGCAGGGACGACAGAGCCACCTGGTCTTCACAAAGTCGAAGTCTGGCCGCGGCACCTGCCCTGGTCTCCTGCTTCCAGAGTGACCCGGACGGCGCCTCAGCACACCAGGGCCGGCTGCTTCATGCCCCAGTGGGATGCATGGAGACCCTGGCTTGCATGGGGGCCGCCTCCGGGTGGTGCCAGGGGCCACTCCCCTGTGACTCTCAGGGGTCCCTCCTGGCTGTGTCAGGGGTTGGCTCCCGCCCAAGCCGAGAGGCCCCTTCCAGACGCCCGCCTCTCTGTACAGGCCACGAGTCCCCGCAGAGCGGTGAGGACACTGTTTCTGCATGGGTTTCACGAGGCTTTTCTCCAAGTTTAAGCCTCTTAATAAGCCTGTAATTACTTAAAATTTCTAATTAAGATGTTTCAGCTCTCCAGCGAGCGGGGCTGATCTTAATGATAGAATGCACTAAAAATCACATGCAAAATTATATTTTAAACATTAAGCAGCTGGGGGTTTTGACTGGCAAAATCAAAGAGTTACAAACTTTGAGAGCCATGCATGTATTTTAGAAGTGAGACCCAGAGCTCTGGGAGCTCCGTCTGCCCTCACGCTGAGGAGCCGCCGTGCGCCAGACTCGGAGTGACCCAGACCGGCAGAGTGACCCATACGGACCAAGAGCACTGACCGACACCGGAACCGAGGAGCCCCCAAACTCAGGAGGCACTTGGGGCGGTGGGTCGTGGACTCCTGCACCATGGAGCTGGCAGTGCTGGTCTGTCGCGGTGTCTGGTGGTTGCTGGTGGTAGTGGGCGTGCGGCAGTTTGGTGCATACGGATGCTGTTGGCAGAGGTGTGGGTGATACTTATGGCAGTACCGCACTGGTGCTATTGGCACTGCTGGTGGTATCAGAGGTGGGTTGGTGTTAGCAGTGCTTGCGGGAGTGTGTGGCTGTGATGGTGGTGGTGCACGGGCAGTGCTGGGTGTCGGCTGTGTTAGTGGCAGCAGAGAGGGGCTTGTGTTGGTGTTGTTGGCAGTTGGGCTGGTGATGGCCTTGGTGTTACTGTGGTGGCGGTGCTGCCTCTGTTCTTGGTGATGGTGTTGGTGGTCGTGGCGGTGTTGTGGGAAATGGTGGACGTGTGGGGGGACACGGTGGGCAGCAGTCAATGGCTGTTGGCAGTGGTGGCTGCAGCAGCTGTGCTGTTGCTGCGAACTCTACTAAGGGGGTTGTGCAGTTGGTGTTGGTCTTGTTGGTGATGGCGGTGACGGCTGAGTTGTTGCTGTAAATTATTGAGGCGGTTGTGCGGTTGGTGTTGGCTCTGTCAGTGATGGTGGTGTTGGCTGAGCAGTTGGAGTGATCCTACTGTGGTTGTGTAGCTGACATTGTTCATGATGTTTCTCCTGTGGTGGTTGTGTAGTTGGTGTTGGTCATGTTAGTGCTGATGGTGGCTGTGGTGACATCTGGGCAGTTTCCCGCTGGGCCAAGGCTACTCTCCTAGACCACCAGCTGGACTGGCGGCCAGGTCTGCTCTGCAGACCCACGGTCTCCTGGAAACTGTCCACTCAGGTGAGCACTAACACGGACAGGCTGCTTGGTGGCCGAGCCAAAGACGCAAGCCCTCGAGGTGTTCTCTCCCTGTTGCCTGAGTGGGGACGTGCTGGCCAGGGGCAGCCCCTCTAGGCCACTCTCAGCTGGGGCCCAGGAGCCGTGTTGCCTTGCGCGGGTCCCTGCCACTCAGCATCAGCCGAGACCAGCAACTCTGATGGTTCTCCTCCGGGCTCCCGACCACCCTGTACGGTTCCAAGACAGGCCCCCATGTCCAGCCCCCAGCCCAGCAGGAAAGGAAAGCAGCTGTCCCCCCACACCCAAACTTATCACAGTGACAGCCGAGGCTGCCCCGTGGGAGCTGGTGTGCAGGGGGTGGGCTGCGGCCCTCCCAGAGGATGGCGCCGGTGCAGCCCCCGGGCAGAGGGCTGCTCTGAGGGGACTCCCTGCCCGGGCTGCTGTCGAGGGGCCTGGGGGCGGAGGAAGAAGGGTGAGAGGGTGAGGCCACACCAGGCCCTAGAAGCCAGTGGGCTTCTTAGCCAGCCCTGGGCAGGGTGCCAGGAGGACCAGTCCCCGGCTTCCAGTCTCCCGGCAGGAGAGGAAAGGTGCCTCGGGGCCCAGCCCCCCCCCCCCGCACCCCCGGGCTGATCCAGCAGCACCTCCCGTCCAGGGGGTCGGTGCTCGGGACAGAGGCAGGTGCGGCCTTGGCACCACCTGCAGCAGAGGCTGTGGGCTCTCATGGCACTGCCACCCTGTGGCCGCTGTGGTGGTGGGGGGCCACTCCGTCACTGCCCCGCTAAGCCACTCCACAAAGCCCATTCCCAGCCCAGAACAAGGCAGGCAGGAAGCACGGCCGGGGGTGCCGGCACTCTACCTGTGAGCACCGATGCCAGGGGGCAGTGCCCGGATCCGGTTGAAGCGCAGGTCCAGCCAAACCAGGACGGGCAGCAGCTGGAAGAAGTCCTTGGGGAGGGCGCACAGGACATTCCTCTGAAGATGCAGCTGCTTCCAGGGAGAGGAGAAACAGCCCGTCACACGGCCTCACCCCGGCTCCGACGTCTCCGCATGGAATGGCAGCCACGTGACCGAGAGGAGAAACCAGACACGTCCAGTCCACGGGAAGGAGCCCTCACACACTGAGCAGGGGCCACTGCCCCAGGAGCACGGGAAGGAGCTGTCTGCCCCCCAGAGGGCACCATGACACGGCCACAGGCCATGGGAGATGCCCAGGAGCACAGCTCAGGCAGACACGAGCGGTCGGAGTGTCCCGTCAGCCCAGACACGGGCTGTGATGACCCAAGAGGAAGACACCGCTGCAGTCAGAGCTGCAGCTGCAGCAACGCATGAGACTTGGGGTCTCCCAGGCGACGCCCAGGAGGCCAGGGTCACTCCTGGCAGAGCTCGGCTCACCCAGACATGCAGCTCACCAGGGCCTCCCTGGGTGGTGCAGGGGGGTCGTGTGGACGGGGTTGATGCTGGCCCTCACAGACCCTCCTCCTGGAAAGGGGCTGCTGTCCCCAGCACGCAGGCCCCGCCATGCAGACGTGACCCTGGCACTGCACTGTGAGAGCCAGCTGTGCAGGGGTTGTGTGGCCAGGGGCAGCGGGGTGGGGGACCCTTGGGGGTGAGCCTCTCTGGGTGGAGGGACGACGCCCCCACCTCCCGTGACCGTCTAGAGCCACCCCCTGACTCTCACTCCACATTCCTCTGGCTCCGGAGATGCCCGCTGGGTGACCAGCTCAGAGGCACCTGTGGGCGACCTGGCCATCGGCACCCCAAGGCTGCACCCTGGACGCGGAGCACACCACTTACTTTGAGGTTGAAACCTTGGAAGATGTTTCTTAAGTGGTGTAGCCCCCTCTGGCTCAAGTCTAGGACGGGGGAGGAAAAGGTCCCGTCCCCCTTCTGGTCCTGGGGAGCATGCGGCCTGCCCCCCTCGCCACCAGCCGGGCTCTGCGGGTCGGCGGCCCCGGGACCAGCCTCCTCCATCTGTCGCCAAGGAGGGCAGGGTCACGGCTCGGCTCCACGGGGACCGGGTTCACCTGCAGGCAGCGAGAAACCTCAGCACCCACCCCCGCGCCCTCCGCAGCACCCACACCCGCACCCATATGTGCGCCCGCCCGTCTGCACTGCATCCCACCCCACCCACACCCACACTTACATCCACACCCACACTGCACACACACCCACACACATACCCGCACACACACCCGCACCCTCAGCGGCACCCACACCCGCACCCATATGTGCGCCCGCCCGTCTGCACTGCATCCCACCCCACCCACACCCACACTTACATCCACACCCACACCCACACTGCACACACACCCACACACATACCCGCACACACACCCGCACCCTCAGTGGCACCCACACCCGCACCCGTACATGTGCCCGCCTGCACTGCGTTCCACCCCACTTACACCCACACCCACACTCACACCTGCACCCACACTCACACCCACACCCACACCCTCACCCGCACCCTCACCCGCACCCACACTCACACCCACACCCACACCCGCACCTACACCCGCACCCGCACCCACACCCACACCCACACTCACACCCGCACCCACACCCGCACACACACCCACACTCACACCCGCACCCACACCCGCACCCGCACCCACACCCACACCCACACCCACACTCACACCCGCACCCGCATCCACACTCACACCCGCACCCACACTCACACTCGCACCCACACTCACACCCGCACCCACACTCACACCCACACCCACACTCACACCCGCACCCACACCCACACTCACACCCGCACCCACACCCGCACCCACACCCGCACCCACACCCGCACCCACACTCATACCCACACCCGCATCCACACTCACACCCACACCCACACTCACACCCGCACCCACACTCACACCCACACCCACACCCTCACCCGCACCCTCACCCGCACCCACACTCACACCCACACCCACACCCGCACCCACACCCGCACCCACACCCACACTCACACCCGCACCCACACCCCCACCCACACCCACACTCACACCCACACCCACACCCGCACCCACACCCGCACCCACATTCACACCCACACCCGCATCCACACTCACACCCGCACCCACACCCACACTCACACTCGCACCCACACTCACACCCGCACCCACACTCACACCCACACCCACACTCACACCCGCACCCACACTCACACCCGCACCCACACTCACACCCGCACCCACACTCACACCCGCACCAACACCCACACCCGCACACACACCCGCACACACACCCACACCCCACAACACCCGCACCCACACCCACACTCACACTCGCACCCACACTCACACCTGCACCCACACTCACACCCACACCCACACTCACACCCGCACCCACACTCACACCCGCACCCACACTCACACCCACACCCACACTCACACCCGCACCAACACCCACACCCGCACACACACCCGCACACACACCCACACCCCACCACACCCGCACCCACACCCACACTCACACTCGCACCCACACTCACACCTGCACCCACACTCACACCCACACTCACACCCGCACCCACACTCACACCCGCACCCACACTCACACCCGCACCCACACTCACACCCGCACCAACACCCACACCCGCACACACACCCGCACACCACCGCACCTGCACCCACACCCACACTCACACTCGCACCCACACTCACACCTGCACCCACACTCACACCCACAGCCACACACACACCCGCACCCACACCCTCAACCGCACCCACACTCACACCCACAGCACACCCGCACCCACACCCACACTCACACCCGCACCCACACCCGCACACACACCCACACACACACCCGCACCCGCACCCACACTCACACCCGCACCCACACCCGCACCCACACCCGCACACACACCCGCACCCACACTCACACCCGCACCCACACCCGCACCCACACCCTCACCCGCACCCACACTCACACCCACACCCCACCCGCACCCACACCCACACCCACACTCACACCCGCACCCACACCCGCACCCACACTCACACCCTCACCCGCACTCACACCCACACCCACACTCACATCCACCCTCACCTTCACCCGCACTCACACCCGCACCCACACCTACACCTGCACCCACACACACTGACACTTCTCCGGCGCGGCAGTGCCAGAGCTGACTGCTCCGAGCTGCCATTTCAATGACTGGTTTGACAAGTTGTAAAACCGGAGAGAAACAGCAGAGGGCGCTCTGTCCCCACATGCCCCCCCGCCCCGCTGTCCTGTAGCAACAAGGGCCAGCAAGGCCGTTAGTTGGGGGACGCACAGGTGGGGTCTCCAGCACTCCCGGGCGTGACCAGCCTCCGGAATGGGCTCTCAGCATTCCCGGCTCCCGGCCACACACCCAGGGGCTGAGGGGGCACTCGGTTCCAGCGGCTGCGTGTTTAGTGCTGAGGGCCCCCAGTTCTAGCTGGAAATGTGTGATCAACTAGAGCCTTGAATTTAGTGACTTCACATGACGTTCAACACAAACTTAGAAGTGCGGCTCCCCTAACACTGGTGATATGAACCTACACCCCCCAAAGTCTGCTGTGACGGGTCTGCACAGCCAGAACCTGGGGGACGGACCTGAGCCCTGGACCTTGGGGGGATGGACCTGAGCCCTGGACCCTGCAGGACAGACCTGAGCCCTGGACCCTGCAGGATGGACCTGAGCCCCTGGACCCTGGGGGACGGACCTGAGCCCCCGGACCCTGGGGGAATGGACCTGAGCCCCCGGACCCTGGGGGGATGGACCTGAGCTCTCTGGACCCTGGGGGATGGACCTGAGCCCCTGGACCCTGCAGGACAGACCTGAGCCCTGGACCCTGCAGGATGGACCTGAGCCCCCTGGACCCTGGGGGGACGGACCTGAGCCCCCTGGACCCTGGGGGGACGGACCTGAGCCCCCTGGACCCTGGGGGGACGGACCTGAGCCCCCTGGACCCTGGGGGGACGGACCTGAGCTCTCTGGACCCTGGGGGATGGACCTGAGCCCCTGGACCCCTGGGGGATGGACCTGAGCCCCCGGACCCTGGGGGAGATGGACCTGAGCCCCCTGGACCCTGGGGGGACGGCCTGTGGTTGCTTCCACCTCCACGGCCAGTGGTCACTGCAGGACTTTTCTGCATCTGAGCTCACTCCCAACCCCAACCATGAACCCGGTTTCCGGCAACCGGCAGGAGGCCACTGGGGAGCTGGTGGTTGATGTTTTGTATCTGGAAATATCACTGGGCAAACTTTATGGAAATTCAAATGGAAAACGTTTTAACATTCTCAAACTCAAAAAAAAAATCTCAGCCAATAAAATCGCTCTCTTGGGCTCAGGGAACAAGTCTGGCAAAGGCAGCTGCTGCCTGCAGGCCGTGAGCTCGGCGGGCGGGGGGTGCCCAGAGCCCCTCAGACTACCCACAGCCCAGCTGAAGGGCTGAGTCCCACAGCCCTGCCCCCGAGAGGAGGAAATGACCGACTGATTCACGGGAGGACACAGCCACCCTCGGGGATGGCACAGGCTCTGTTACAGGAGCTGAGTCTGTCCCAGCACTCTGGGGACAACTTCCAAGTCAGGAGCAGTCCCTGAGCTCGGGGTGTGTCCCGGAACCCTGTCACTCTGCATTCAGTGAAGGGAACTGGCTTTCTTCATGTCTCGGACCAGCAGGGCAGGCCTGAGATCAGCTGGGGGCTGTCCGAGGGTCAGCAGCAACCCCGTCCTGGTGTTCTCTTCCCTGGGCGTGGGGGGGGGGCGATGGGGACTTCCGCCTGACCTGCCGCTGCACCCGCCCAGGAAAACACCAACTGCGGGGAGACCTCAGGGCTGTTGGGGCTCCTGGCGTGCCTCAGTTTCCCCAGAGGTCGCATTCTAGCGGTGAGGCCATGGGATGGGGGCGCTGTCTTTCTTCTGCTGCTGCCCACCCTTGGCCCCTAAAGCTGAGCCCCCCCCATCTTTTGGACACCCCCGCCCGGCCCCCACGTAAAGGAGCAACTCCCTTTGTTGTACTTAACAGGTACTGTTTCAAGTACCCTACAAACCTCAGGGTGACCCTAGAGGCAGGCCAGCTCAAGGAAAGACTGGAAGTCATCATTGCTATGGAGGAATCTAGGTTAACTCAGTCTGGGCCTACTCTCAGCGTCAAGGATTTCTCCCAGCCCTGAAGAAGGGATGGGATGGACTCCTTCCTGCCAGGACATCTCTGTGGAAAATGAGGCCCAAAGCCACATCCAGTTCAACCTGAAGGCTCGAGGTCATCCAGTTCGTCGTGGGACATCTTATGGCCAGGCCTGGGTAACTCTGACTTGCCAGATAAGATTAATGCCATTATTGGTGTGTCTCCTGTCGTTAGCTGACCCCCAGGACTTTGCAGTAAATAATGGGGTAACCCAAATGGAGAGTTCTCTAATCTTGCTGTGTTTATGCAAAAGGACAAGCCAGGTTTGTTAAGCTATCTGGCAAAGTTTTAAAATGAAGGTGGAGAGAAAACCATGTTTCTGTAACTTGTTTCTTGTAAGAATCAGATTCTAATTCTACAGAGGTGATTGGGTACATGTGTGAATTGGCCAGTGTTGCTTTGGTTTCTGTTGCTTTAACTCTTTTTAAGACTGCATCGAGAAATCTCTAACATCCCTGTCCAAGACAGTCTTTCAAAACCGAGAGGACTCGACCTTCGACCTGTTGTTCTCAAGAACGAAGGGCTCTGCGCTGCTCTGGCGGAGGAATGCTGTTTCTACGCGGACCACCCTGAGGTTGTCAGAGACTCTATAGTGAAGGTGTCGGTGGCGGTGGCAGCGATGGCAAGCAGGCGGCATTGCTGGGACTGTTTTGCACTGGGGCCAGCATCAAAATGTCCTCGCCAATGGCTGTGCTACTGCATGGACTGTATACTCGATTTCATGTGTATGTCGCAGTAAACAAAACCAAACTTTTTTTTTTTTTCTGTTTAGTTGCCTGGGGAAGAAGGCTGCTGGGCGGGCAGTGT